TATGGGAAGGTATTTAATTGGGGGAGGGGGAATTACAATGCTATTAGGCAAAAACTGTGGAGCATAAATTGGGAACAGATGGTCTCAGGGAAATGCATGACAGAAATGTGGAGGTTGTTTAGGGAGCACTTGCTGCGAGTACTGGATAGGTTTGTGCCACTGAGGCAAGGAAGGGGTGGTAAGGTGAAGGAACCTTGGATGACAAGAACATCTAGTCAAAAGGAAGAAGGAAGCTTACTTAAGGTTGAGGAAGCAAGGATCGGACAGGACTGTGGAGGGCTACAAGGTAGCCAGGAAGGAACTGAAGAATAGACGTAGGAGAGCTAGAAGGGGTATGAAAGTGCCTTGGCGGGTAGGATCTAGGAAAACCCCAAGGCGCTCTATGCTTATGTGAGGAACAAGAGGATGGCCAGAGTGAGGGTAGGGCCAATCAGGGATAGTGGAGGGAACTTGTGCGCGGAGTCAGAGGAGGTAGGCGAGGTCTATAGCTTCCGTATGCACCAGTGAGAGGGACCTTGATGTTTGTGAGGACAGCATAAAACAAGCAGGTATGCTCAAACAGGTCGATATTAGGAAGGAGGGTGTGCTAGAAATTTTGAAAAACATGAGGACAGCTAAGTCCCCTGGGCCAGACGGGATATACCTAAGGTTACGAGGGGAAGCGAGGGAAGAGATTGCTGCCCCTTGGCAATGATCTTTGCATCCTCACTGTCCACTGGAGTAGTACCAGATGATTGGAGGGTGGCAAATGAATCGCTTCATACTTTTCTTCGTACTTTCATTCCCTTGTTCAAGAAAGGGAACAGGGATAATCCTGGGAATTATAGACTAGACAGTCTTACTTCTGTGGTGGGAAAATTATTGGAGAGAATTCTGAGAAACAGTATTTATGATTATTTGGAAAAGCAACAGTTTGATTAGAAATAGTCAGCGTGGCTTTGAGAGAGGCAGGTCATGCCTCACAAGCCTTACTGAATTATTTGAGGATGTGACAAAACACATTGATAAAGGCAGAGCAGTGGAAGTGGTGTATATGGATTTTAGCAAGGCATTTGACAAGGTTCCCCATGGTAGGCTCATTCAGAAAGTAAGGAGGCATGGGATTCAGGGAAATTTGGCTGTCTGGATACAAAACTGGCTGTCCAATAGAAGACAGAGGGTGGCTGTAGATGGAAAGTATTCCATCTGGAGCTCGGTGACCAGTGGTGTTGCACAGAGATCTGGTCTGGGACTTCTGCTCTTTGTGGTCTTTATAAGTGACTTGGATGATGAAGTGGAAGTGTGGGTTATTAAGTTTGCAAATGACATGAAGTTTGGCGGAGTTGTGGATAGTGTGGAGGGCTCTTGTAGGTTGCAATGGGACATTGACAGGATGCAGAGCTCAGCAAAGAAGTGGCAGATGGAATTCAACCCAGAAAAGTATGAAGCGATTCATTTTGGAAGGTCAAATTTGAATGCAGAATACAGGGTTAATGGCAGGATTCTTTGCAGCGTGGAGGAACAGAGGGATCTTGGTCCATGTCCATAGATCCCTCAAAGTTGCTACCCAAGTTGATAGGGTTGTTAAGAAGGCGTATGGTGTGTTGGCTTTCATTGGCAGAGGAATTGAGTTTAAGAGCTGCGAGGTTATGCTGCAGCTCTATAAAACCCTGGTTTGAACACACATGGAATATTGTGTTCTGTTCTGGTCACCTCACTACAGGAAGCATGTGGAAGCATTAGAGAGGGTGCAGAGTCGATTTACCAGGATGTTGCCTGGACTGGAGGGCAGGTCTTATGAGGAAAGGTTGAGGGAGCTAGGGGTTTTTTCATTGGAGCGAAGAAGGATGAGAGGTGACTTGATAGAGGTGTACAAGATGATGAGAGGCATAGATAGAGTGGATATCCAGAGACATTTTTCCCCAGGGCAGAAATGACTGCGATGAGGAGGCATTGTTTTAAGGTGATTGGAGGAAGGTATAAGGGAGATGTTAGAGATAGGTTCTTTACACAGAGTGGTGGGCGTGTGGAATGCGCTGCCGGCAGTGGTAGTGGGATCAGATACCTCAGAGACACATAAGCAACTCTTGGATAAGCACATGGAGGATAGTATAATGTAGGGTATGCAGGGTAGTTTGATCTTAGAGTAGGATAATAGGTCGGCACAACATCATTGGCCAAAGATCCTGTACTGTGCTGTGCTGTACTGTTCTATGTTCTACGTCATACTCCATCAGGATGGTCTCAGGTTCTCCCCTTCTTCAAGGAGAAAATGCCTGAGACATCCCCATCCACCATTACCCTCCTCAGGATTCCTCACCACCATGGTTGAAGGGGTCTTCAGCCAGTCTGACTCATCTCCCACACTTTAGCCCCCACTCCGTCTACAACAGCACTAGGATCCCTCTTGTCTCACCATCCAACCAGCATCCACATCCAAAGGATCATCAACTACCATTCCAGCCACGTCCAGCACGATGCCTCGACCAGACACCTACTCCCCTCCCCATCCTCCCTTGTCAGCCTTTGGCAGAGACCGTTCCCTCCGGGACATCATGGTCCACTCGTTCTCCATTCCCAACAACCCCTAGCCCCCAACAGCCCCACAGCACCTTCCTATGCAATTTCAGAGGCTGTAGACACCTCCCTGTTTACTTCCTCTCTCCTTACTATCCAAGGTCCCACACACCGTCCAGGTAAAGCAGCGATTTACCTGCACTTCACTCAATCTGGTCTACTGCATTTGCTGCTCACCATGTGATCACCTCTACATTGGGGAGATGAAGCGCAGACTGGGTGGCCGCTTTGCAGAATGCCTACGTTCTTTCAACAAAAATGACAAACTTCCACTTGCTTGCCATTTCAACACACCACCATGTTCCATGGTCAACATCTCTGTCTCGGTCTTGCCACAGTGCTCCAGTGAAGTTTAGCACAATCTGGAAGAACAACTCATTTTCTGCTTGGGAACTCTGCAACCTTCTGGACGCAATATCAACTTCTTCCATCTCCATAGCTCAACCCGTTCACACCAGGCCCCGTAACAACATGGGCTTCCACCACAAACAACCCATTCTCAGCCATTAATGGTCCTAACATTTTCCTAACTACCATCATTTCTAAAGAAGGGTCACTGCACCCAAACATTAACTCTGCTTTCTCTCCACAGATCTTGCCAGACCGGCTGAGTTTTTCCAGCAATTTCTGATTTCATGGCTACAACAGCAGGTCAGAGTTAGGAATACTGCAGTAAATACTACCTCCTGACTCACCAAAGCTCGCCCACCATCTACAAGGCACAATTCAGGAGTGTGATGCAATAGTTGCTTGGATGGGTGCATCTTCAAATCCAATACTAAACAAGGTTGACACCAACTAAGGCAAAGGCACCTGCTTGATTGGCACCACATCCACAATCTTCCACTCCCTCTCCCATTGATGCTCAGTAGCAGCAGTCTGCACTATCTACAAGATTCATCAAAGATCCTTAGACAGCACCTTTCAAACCCGTGACCACTTCCATCTAGAATGACAGGGGCAGCAGATACATGGGAACACCACTACCTCCAAGTTTCCCTCCAAGTCACTCACCATCCCGACTTGGAAATGTGCTACCATGCCTTCACTGCCACAGGGTCAAAAGCCTGGAATTCCTTCCTTAATGACATTGTGGGTCAATCTACAGCATGTAGACTGTAGCAGTTCAAGAAGGCAGCTCACCACCACCTTCTCAAGGGCAACTAGGGTTGGTCGATAAATGCGAATCAACCAGGGACACTCAAGTCCCACAAATGAATTAAAAAAAAGAGCCAATCAATTTAGCCAAAAACTCTTTGGATTTACTTAATTCTATGTATTTTCTTATACTGCCTTGAATTATTTGTGTGAAGCTGGTTAATTATCCATTTAAATACGCAGAAACAAGGGTTTGAAAATTATCTTTTAAATGACAAACATTCAATGTACTCTCCATGCATACAGAACCAGGTGAAATATTTCTGATGTGTAACAATATTTCACACACATACCATGAAAAAACACAATGCCATACATACGGACTCATCCATCAGTGGGGAATTTTGAGGTTTAAGCTTTTCCACTAGAGTAGATAATTATGTATAAATTTTCAGCTAACTGTTCGATTGGATTCTTTTGAAAGGGTCTCAGACCTTCATACATACCCAAGGGCACAAAGTCAATCCCCACTGCAAGTCTGAAGCAACTAGACCCCTAAATTACAATTTAAGATTTCCATCATGACCAGTGATCAACACTTACTAAATGAAAAAGCTTGGATATCGTATCAGTGAAGAGCTTGTTTCTACCATTTGTCAATCAGTTAAGTTCACTGTATTGGAACATTTAAGACCCAAATTTAATAGAGAACAAAAGGAGGCTAAATCAAGTTCACGTTAGCTCTGTAAAGCAACCCATTTCATAGTATACCCCATTTTATCTTCATCACTTTGCATGTTTATCTCCCTCAAGTGCCGATCCAATTTACCTTTGAAGTCATGGATTACCACCGCTTTCATAATGAGTTCTAGATCATCGCCATTTACTTTTTAAAGTAAGTTTTTTTCTCATTCCAATGCATCTCTTGATCAAAAGCATAAATCTGTATCCTTTGGTTCTTGTCACATCAGGTAACAGGATCATTTTATTTCTTGACTAACATATATAAATCGATGTAGTCTTAATCATAACCTTGTAGACCTCTAACAAACATCCTCTCTAATTTTCTCCTTTGGAAACAACTCCTTTCTCCAATCTTGCACTGTAGGCAGCACTCAGGCTTTGGCTCATAGGCAAAGTTACCATTGTCACCACACAAGTACCAGGAAATTACTATCTAAAACAAAAGAGAATCCAATCATCTTCTGCCAACATTCAATGACATTACCATTGCTGAATCCCCCTGCTGTAGGTTGTACCTACATCCCAAGGATTGCAGTTGCTCAAGAAAGCAGCTCTTTATCATCTTCTCAAGGGCGATTAGGGTCAGGCAATAAATGCAGGCCAAGCCAGTGATCAGCAAAGTTTTTTTTAAAAAATGCTCCCGTTCCTAGAATTTTCAAAATCTCCTTTGAACACTTTCAAAGCCCTTCGTATCTTTCAAAAAGCGTCATCTCAGAATTAGCTACAATACAATTTAAGTTTTAAAAAGGTTCTGTGTAATTTATTTTAATAAAATGGCAGGAAAGTTAACTTCCAGAAGAAGAATTAAATTTTTGTAATTTCTATGATTCCTGAATGAGTCAGTACCGAGTGTTCCCCATTTAGAATGAAACAAACAGCATGCACAGAAACAGGCATTGTGGCCGAACAGTCTAAACTGGCTTTTATACCCCATTTGAGCTTCCTCTCATCTTTTCTCTAATTTGCTGGCATAATTTGCTCTTACTTTTCTCAATCACTTGGTGCTTCTCTATTTCATTACGGATTACTTCAAGTTCATTCTGCAGGTTTTCCACCTTCTTGCTCCACTCTTCCAGTTCAGTTTGATGCTGTGTAGACATTGTCTGCTCCCACTTCTCAACACGCCGCCGACACTCCTCTTCCCATTCCTTTTGCATACCCTGTTGGAATAGAACAGTTTGCTACTGGATGTTCACCATGACGTCATTATTAAAATCTGTATTTATGTTATGCATTTATCATTAACAATCTTAGAACATTTTGCTGCAAGAGCAATATTGATAAAAAAACACTTCTGACACCGAGTCATAGGAGGAGATAGTAGTACAGATGAGCAAAAGCTCGGTCAAGGAGTCAAGAGTTTCAAGTAGCAAAGTAATAAAGAGAGGATGAGGAGTGTTAGGCTGGGAATTTGAGCTTGAGGTCAAAAGTAAGACTACCAATGGTGGAACAATTTTTTAAAAAATTATTTATGGTAGACTGATGTTATTTGGCTAGGCCAGCACTGATTGCCTGGCAAGCAGTTACATGTCAACTGCTATGTTTTGTATCTGGAGACACATGTAGGCTGGACCAGGGAAGGATGACAGATTTCCTTTCCTAAGGAACATCAATGAACCAGATGGACTTTTATGGAAATCAGCAATGGTTACATGGTCACCATTAGGCTAGATTTTTATTTCAAAATTTTATTGAATTCAAATTTCATCATCTAGGAATGATGGAATTCAAACCCACATCTCCAGGATATTAATCTGAGGTTCTGGATTACTAGTCCAGTGATACTACCATGACATCACCAACTCCCCTCAAAATTAACATGGACACGAGAGGCCAGAAAGAGTACAGAGATCCCAGAGTTGCAGCTGTGGAAGTGTGTGTAAAGATAAGCAGAGGCAAGGGGGTTTGAAAACAAGGAACAGGAATTTAAAGTTGAGGTGTTGGCAAATCAGTAGGTCAAACAAGCACGGAGCCGATCGACAAATGAGAGGTGAAGCAAGCTAAAATACGTGTGAGAGATTTGTATAAGAGTAACTGCACACAGCTGGTTTAAATTTGGGAATCCCGAAACAAATAATTCACGTCAGTCTGCCCAAATCAGTTCACCAGGGATGACGCTCAAGTTAGGACTGTGATACTTTCCAGTTCACAACACTGTGTTCCTCCTCCCAGCTTAAAAGCAGAAGCTGAAACAGGAGGATCCTTCACAGGAAGTAGTACAATGCTGGTCTGAGGCAGCAGAACTGCATCTCCAGGACTGCTTGAAATCGGTAGACTAGATCATATTCAAGAACCCAGTACACCACCACGGAATTCATTAGCAAGTGCATGGAGGTCTGCTTGCCAAAGAAGTCAATCCTGGTGTTCCCCAACCAGAAAACCTGGATGAACTGGGAAATCCACTGCCTACTGAAGACCAGGCGTGCCGCGTTCAAGTCAAACGACCCATACCTTTACAGAAAATCCAGACATGATCTCCGCAAAACCAGAGATGCCAAGAGGCAGCACCGGACAAAAGTTAGAGGCCCAAACCAACCATATGGACACCCGCCATCTCTGGCAAAGCGTACACAACATAACAGGATACAAAATGAGGCAGAGCAAGATAGCAGCCAAGAACACAACCCTCCCTGATGCACACACTGCTTTCTACGTTCGGTTCGAGCAGAATGCCAGCAACGCGGCGTCACCTGCCCCGACAGCCCTGGACACACCTGTTCCCTCAATCACCGTTGCAGACGTCAGATTGATTTTCCTGTGAGTCAACCCAAGTACAGCGACGAGCCCAGAACGGAGTCCTCAGCCATGCACTTAGACCCTGTGCAGACCAGCTGATGAGATATTCACGGACATCTTCAACTTCTCCCTTCTACAAGCCGAGGTCCCCATCTGCTTTAAGAAGACCACCATCATGCCAGTAACAAAGAATACACATGCAACATGCCTGAATGACTACCGCCCAGTGACTCTGATGTCCATAATCATGAAGTGCTTCAAGAGGTTGGTCACAGCCCACAGCAACTCTAGCCTCCCTGCCTGCCTCGATCCCCTGCAATTTGCCTATCGACATACCAGGTCCACAGCGGACGCCATTTTCCAAGCTCTACACGTATCCCTGGAACATCTGGATGACAAGGACACCTACATCAGACTCTTATTCATCGACTACAGTTCTGCCTTCAACACACATAATCCCCTCCAGAATAATCTCAAAACTTCGAGACCGAGGTCTCGGCTCCACCCTCTGACACTGGATCCTCAGCTTCCTGACCCACAGACTGCAATCAGTGAAGATAGACAACTGCACCTCCTCCACGATAATCCTCTACACTGACACCCTGCAAGAATGCGTTCTCATTCCTTACTGTACTCCCTGTACACCCAAGACTGTGTAGCCAAACTCCGAAAGAATGCCATCCACAAGTCTGCTGACAACACCACCGTGGTAGGACGGATATCAAACAATGATGAGTCATAATATAAAAAGATAGACGGCTTGATGCCATGGTGCAATGATAGCAATCTCTCTCTTTGTCAGCAAAACAAAAGAACTGATTGCTGACTTCAAAAGTGAGGAGGAGGACGTGCCCCCATCTACATCAACAGAGCTGAGGTGACGAAGGTCAAAAACATCAAGATCCTGGGAACGACAATGACCGACAACCTGTCTGGGACTTCCCAAGCAGATGCGACAGTCAAAAAGACACAACAATACCTCTTCTTCCTCAGATGGCTTAGGAAATTTGGCATGTCCATAAGGACCCTCACCAACTCGTACAGATGCACCATAGAAAGCATACTATCCGGGTGCGTAAAGGCCTGGTACAGCAAATGCTCTGCCCTTGACTGGAAGAAACTACAGAAGGTTGTGTGCACAGCCCAGACCAGCACAGAAGCCAACATCCCATCCATGGACTCCATTTACACTTCTCGCTGCCATAGAAAGGTTGCCAACATCATCAAAGACCCTTCTGACTCTGGTACTGCTCTCTTCCAACCTTTTCCATCGGGCAGAAGATACAGAAGCTTGAACACACACACACCAACAGGTCGAAGAACAACTTCTTCCATGCCAGTATTAGACTGCTGAATGGACTGAATGTTTATCTTGCTTTCCATACCTCCTGTGCAGTGTAACCTGTATGCCTCGCTCGGTCTAAACACCCAATGATCTGTGGGTCTTTGTTTGCTATGATCTGCCTGTACTTCTCACAAAACAAAGCTTTTCACTGTACTTAGGTACATGTGACTACAATAAATAAAACCAAATCACACTGCCTAAGTGGAAATCCAACTCTCTGGAAGTTCAACATCTTCCAGCTCAAAGCTGTCCAGTCAATCAGCATTCCTCTGCCACCTTAAACATTCACTCTCACCATTACTGACTCAGAATGGCAGTGTGTATCATCTATGAGATGCACTGCAGTAATTCAACAAGCCTCTTGACAACACCTGAAAACACGTGAACGCTACGACCTAGAAAGGAAAGCAGATGCATGAATATATTGCCACCTGTAAGTTCTCCTCCAAGCCACACACCTTCTTGACTTGGAATTACATCACACTGTTTTCACTACAGTTGAGTCAAAATCCTGGAACTCCCTTCCGAACACCACTGTGGCAGTTACCACCAAATTCAGAAGAGCATTCAGGAATTAGTAACAAATGCTGGCCTTGCCAAAGACATCCGCGTACTATGAACGCATAAAACAAAATTGTGAAAACTGAAGCCACTGCATTTGGTCATTACCTCACATTGTTTTGTTTCTTGGCTACAGTTTCAGTCTCAGGCAACTGTCTAAAGTTGTGACAACCATTGGTGCTGGACTTGGCGCCAAAATCAGCTTCCACTCACATATCTGCCCTGCAGACATTCGATGACATCTCTGACCCTTGCACTAGGGAGACAATATACCATTCTCCTCTCAGGTACCTCCCTGGTGCTAGGATCAGGGACAGGGGCACAGATGGCTGCAGTGCTTTCTGAAATGGGGAGGACAGTCACAAAGATCTTGGTACATATTGGGACCAACAACACAGGTAGGAAAAGGGATGAGATCCTGAAAGCAGAATTTAAGAACGAGGAAGTAGATTAAGGTACAGGACCCAAAAGGTAGTAATCTCTGGACTACTTCCAGGGCTACGTGTACATGGGTATAGGAAGAGGCAGTTAGTTCAGATGAATGCGTGGCTGGAGAAAGGATGCAGGAGGGACTGCTTTAGATTTCTGGGACCATTTTTGGAGTGGGAGTGGTGGGACCTATACAAGGCAGACGGGTTGCACCTGAACCAGAATGGGAATAGATACTTTGCATCAGTTTTCACAGTGGAAGACACCAGCAACATACCACAACTTCAAGGAGAGTCAGGGGCAGAGGTGAATGTAGGGGCCATCACTAAGCAGAGGGTACAAGGGAAGCTGAAAGGTCTGAAAATGGATAAATCATCAAGACCAGAAGGACTACAGCCCAGAGAAAGAGACAGCTGAGAACACTGTATAGACATTGATGGTGATCTTTCAGGAATCACTGGAATCAAGAGGGTGCCAGAGGACTGGAAAATGGCTAATGTAAGACCGCTGTTTAAAGGAGGGAGATATAAGTCAGGAAACTATAGGCCAGTTAGCCTAACCTGGTAGAAGTTTTAAAGTCCTTTTTTAAGGATGATGTTACAATGTACTTGGAAATGCTTGGTAAAATAGGGCAGAGTCAGCAAGGCTTCATCAAGGGAAAGTCATACCTGGCAAATCTGTTGGAATTCTTTGAGGAGGTAACAAGCAAATTAGACAAAGGAGAGCCTGTGGATGTGATCTATTTGGATTTGGACAAGATGTCAAAGGAGGCTGCTAAATAAGAACCTGAGGTGTTAGGGACAAGATACTGGCATGGATACAGGTACTGGCACAAGTCAGACAGTAGGGATAAAGGGGTCTTTTTCAGGATGGCAGCCAGTGACTAGTGGAGTTTCTAAGGGATTAGTATTGGAATCACAATTATTCACATCATACATTAATGATCTGGATGAAAGAACTGAGCGCATTGTTGCTAAGTTTGCAGATGACATAAAGAATGAAGGGACAGGTTATGCTGGAGTTGGGAGGCTGCAGAAAGACTTGGACAGGCTAGGAGATTGGGCAAAGTGGCAAACAGAATACAATTTG